GTAAGTGTAATGTTACCTGGTCATTTTAGTTAACAGAAGAATACTCATTTTCATATATTAAATTTTTTTTAGAATGTCCGAATACTCTGGCTTTCCATCTATCCGTGATACCCTTAAAACCATTTTTTCGAAAGCTTCTGATGAAGAAATTTCGAAGTACGAGAGGCAACTTGAAAAAGTAAAAATTCTTGACCCGGTTGTTATAATTAATCCGAATCCGGATTGGATTCATCAGCACGGTTTACTCGCGTATCACACTGTTATGGATAAATTCGCAACAGAAGGCCTTCACAATAATCGAAGAGATGAAAATTCACGTTGCATTTTTCACTTCACCAGTGTTACCGAAATGTACACCGTACGAGATAAAATTCACGATGATTTTCCCAATGCATTCATGCATTCACGCTCCATTCAAGCATTAATCCCAAACGCTCAATTACATCCAATTGGAACTGCATGGATACTAATGAATGTAGAAGATCTAGAAGAACTTAAATGTGATTTTGGAAAAGATAATAATTTCTTTCTTCGTACTGTTGAGAAGAATTCATCATATATTAATTGATTCAATCAACTATTATGTAATCATTTATATAATTTCAGTTATTAATAAAGTCGACCTTTGAGGTCTATTGTTACATGATTGCGCAAAATTGTCCCTTTATAATAATTTCAAAGAATCGCAAAACTAGAATATTTATAATAATAGCACAATTAAAACAGGCGTAGCCTCTATCCTTCTTCATCAATTTCAATGAAAAAACTTATACCTGTTTATGAGATTTAGATAAGTTTTCAGAAAAATTAATATACTTGATTTTGATAATATTTCTGATTTTTAATGATGCTAAATGCAAAATTTCGTAAATTTGAGAATAAATAATTAAAAGACGATTTTTTTGAACTTGTCTTTTGAAGATTATTAGTGCATCATAAAAACATTTGGTCCAAGTATTGACCGAAAAAGTTTGAATAGATTTTCATCATTAGAAAAATAGCTAAAGAGGTTTTCTAAGATTTCAGGTGTTGATAAATCACATTGAATATTAAAATTTTTTAGGCGAGATAAAACTCAAACTCATAATGGAAACTTTCATTAGAGGATCTCAATAAATTCTATTAGATCAATTTTGCATAATATAAAGGAATTTCAGTATGAAGATAGGAAATATAAAAATATTAAAGGCCATAAATTAGAACTTTAAGATAGAGGAATCACTAAAAAAATATAAAGATGAAGAAAAGGAAATTATTAAATATTAGATGATGGATTGCTTCAAATAAGATAATCTGAAATTTTTCGCGCCTATGACATCACACGTCATGTTTTCAGTGGGTGCTAAAAGACAATAAAAATAAAAAATAACAAATGAGTCAAAATCTTATTACTATATTTGCTTTAATATACTATAAGTAAAAATATTTAGAATCTAATTTTACATTATATAAATATATTTTTAATCTAATTTTTTAAACTAATTAGGTTCAAAAAGATTTATTTATATTTAGAAAATTAAAAAGAGTAAAATATTTGTTCTCGGAGAATCAAAATTTTTTTTAAAAAAATAAAGGTGAATTAATACCATTATTAGAAGATTTACTATTATAGATTTATATTATTTTATATAAATATATTGTAATAAAGAAAATTATATAAATACTGGAAAAATTAGAAGAATAAAAAAAAAATAGAAAAAAATATTTAATATTATGTTTCGAAAATTTTTTTAAAAATCTACATAGATCTCCAGAAAAATTTAAAATTTTCTTAAAATTAATGATAATGAAAAATTAAAAGAACATTATAATGAGACATTAGAAACTTTCAGTGTCAAATTTATCATAACAGTACAAAATATTATTACCTGAATATCCAATCTACCAAAAATCGTAATGCAATTGCAATTTAGAATTTATTAAAAATTCTACTTCGGGAATTTGAACTCACAAAGAAGTGATATGACTTAAAAATAAAGAAGTAAATTAGGTTTAAGTAAATTTTTTTTTTTAAAAAAAACACTGCAAAGAGTTCAGAATTACAATTAAATATATATATCAATACGGAATGAAGTACATAATATAAATGAACTTACTCAAAAAATAAAAAATCGGCAATTCTGAAGAAGAAAACTTTTAATTCCAAGTCATGAAGAACTAACCAATGAGGAATTAAAATAATTTTGAAAGAAGGAAAAGATTAGAAATGTCGATATAAAGTTTTCGTCGTCATTGATAAAAATATGCCTAATATAAAAAGAAGTTTCCAGAACAAATAAATACAATTGGATAAACAGACACTTTGTATATTATATTAATTAATATATGGCGAAGTCATAGTTATTCGTCATATCTATTTGTGAATTCTAAAAAAATTTTTTTTATTCAAGTATAAATAGTCATGTCTAATACTCTTCTTCCGTCGGTTGAAGAAATTCAGAAATGGAAGCGAGCTGATATCATTACATTTTCGCAGTCTAAAAAAGAAAGAGTTGAAACTTGATGACAAGGATATTAAAGTTATTGAAGACCAGAAGTTTCTGGTTCGTACTTCCTTGAAATAAGCAAAGAAAAATTTCGAGGATGTGGATTGAAACTAGGGCCGGCAATGAGAATCTCAGACTTAACTGATAAGATTAGAGGGCAAGTACCATAATTTTATTCAAATATATATACAAACTTATACTACTGTATCAATCCACAAAGTGACATTTTATTTATTGGATCTTTTTTACTCCTGATGGTCTATATATCGTAACATTTGCATTCTCATTTTTAGACAAAGAATTTTTGGGCAGAACTACCAAACGACAAAAATTAAGAGTTAAGTTTTCATCATGTACTAAATATTAACTAGAATATTTATATTGGTAATCTATAAATTAATGACTTTCTAATTTACTCTTTTAAATTCATCTTTTAAAGATGTGTTGGAACTTGTCCACTATCTCAAGCGACTCGAGCAACTCCCAGAGAGTTTACAAGATTATACAAAAATATAGGGAGATGAAATAGAGGAAACAGATTTTATCAAGCACTCTGATGAAAAACACCTTGTAGTGATCAAGGACCTTTATCAAATAGTTACCAATAGAAATTCTTATTCCAGAATTCTAATGAGTGGTGCATCGGGTATTGGTAAATCATGTTTTCTGCTTTATTTATTAATCCGACTTTTATGCAATATCGATGATCTCGAACTTAATGTTGGAACTTTTATCGAATTTTCAGATCTTTATGAGCACTCTGAAACATGGTACATGTACCTAGTTGGGGACACAAATTCCACGCAAGGCATACAAGGTGTCAAGGAGAAAACAGTAGTTTCTGTATCACCAAGAAATATCAAAAAGCGAAAAACTTCAAGAATATTGAAAATCCTGTAAAAATATATTGCATACTATCGTGGTCGACAGAGGAGTTGTTAATTTGTAAAAACATCTTTCCAACGGTACCAGAAGATTTGATACTTGATCTTATTGACAAAGTGGGTGGTGTACCGAAATATGTTCTTAGCTGGCCAGCATTCCTGATTCCTAATTGTGATTTGATTATAAAAGAATCTTCAAAAACACATTGAAAATGTCATTTCAGAAATTGATTTCAGCAAGAATGTACAATACAATTTCAACGATTGACTTGTTCATATGTGGCCAGATACTTGTTATAGAGAGTGATTACTAAAATGTGCCTTTGTTTATATTTTAAATATAATTGAACAAAAACTACATACAATGACCTTCTAATAGAAAAAAGTAAGATTGCAGATATTAATTATATCTAATCTTGAAGGTTGATTTATTTATCAGGTGAAATTGATGATATTGATAATATTGGTAAAGTAAACCTGATGATATATTGATGAGACAGAACTAAAGAAACTATTTTACCAATAGTTAATATTAATAATATAAATTTAGAATTTTATAAAATTAGTATCTTTTGAAGAGGAGCAAAAAAAAAAAATCAATTTTCTAACTTACAACTTTTACAGAACTTTTATAATGAGCACATTTATAATTTATAATCAAATAATATACTTACTTCATAATTGCAATTAAAAATATTTTAGAAAATTAACACCAACATTATACTTCCCAGTATACTCATTACATCTACAACATAACTAACTATTACATTGTTCTAATTGATCCCATCGTCTATTGATCCAAAAGAATACAGCTTCTACAGATGAGATGAAATGTGCAACATGATTTATTACGTCGGGAAGGTTTATCAACAATGAGATGAAATGTGCATAATGATTTATTACGTCGGGAAGGTTTATCAACATTTTGATAAATTGTTACATTTGAGTATAAGTCTGAATTCGAAATGCCTTTAATTTTATAAGTAGGAATTTAAGCTTGATTAATAAGAATGAACATGGAGATGATCATAATAATAAATATAATAAATATAATAAAATATAATAAAATGATTATAATTATAATTACATATGCAAGTACGACAATTAACATGACTGTAGAATAGGTCTACTTGAACTTAAATAATCAATATCATATAACTTAAATTCGTATGTCTCTATTTATTAAAGATTATTAAAGGTAAAAAATAAATTATCGGCATAATAATTGGATTAACTTTACTTGGACTAAAAGTAACAATTTGTTTACTTATCGCTATGCAACTACTGCAAAACAGAGAATCCTAATTTCATTAGAAAACATGTTTATGAACATGAAAGTTCAATATAATTTTTTTTTATTGACTTCGTGATATATACGGATCAATATATTCTGGTTTTGTAAGATATCATAGAATATCTAGCATCTCATGTCCTTTTCAATCATTACAGGTTTCTTTACAGAAACCATAGTCATTACAAGGGAATCATCTATAAAAGTGTCACTTTTTCTAAAAAAAAGCTGGCTTCGGTCACGTTAACACATCATTCTACAGTGTTAAATACTATACTATACTACATCATCTCTACTTCTCTACTCGACTTTTGATTGGTGGGTTTCAGATTCCGTGATACCATTTTTATTGGTTATGAGGTTTATTTAAATTTTGCAACAAGCATAGTAAAATCAAAACAGGTGATCTCCTGTGAAGCTTTGGCAATCCTTGACATAGTAAAATTTTCCCAGTAACATTGTGAAAATTGGATAATCTAATTCCCTCTCGGCTTAGTGGGAAGGATAAAGAGTTCACATGCTTACTCAAAAAGTGCTAACTATTGTTAAAATTTTTCACGGTCTGACTTTTTGAGCGATTAATTAAAACTGTTCAGAAGGTATGAAAGTACTTGAACACTGTATTTGTTTTTGCTAAGCTGGCTTACAAACGGATCGAAAGATTATTTTTTCTTTAATTACAAATACTTAACGAATTTTTTTACAGTAGAATTAGTTTAATGAATACAGTAAAATAATATGATATATTAATAAAAATAACAAATAAATAAGTTTCAATATTTTATAATTGTTTTAAATTAGAAACCTGTTCTTTATTATTATTTTTCATTTGTATATACAAATTCTGTTTCATATAAGTAAAAATAATAAAAATAAATGAAATATAGTACCATTATTAATTATTATTTTAATATTCTCCCATATTTATTAAACCCATTGTGGTTACGCACTCAATAAATGTCATAACAACTACAACTGAATGTGCAAAATTAGAAACAGAACAGGCAAACAGAGATTAATAAGATAAAAACAATAGAAGAAAAAATAACAAAAAAATCCCCGTGCCTCCGGCACGGGTATAATTAAATTTCTAGATATTGGAACTACTCGAAATTAACCAGTTAACTACTTTGACTGGTTAATATTAAGGTTTTTTTACATGATTAATAACCAGTTAACCATTTAAATTTAGCCAATTAGAATATATACTATAAAAACCAGTGTTGGCCATGACCTAATTATGACCTACTCATCAATTATAATTATGACCATATGACCCATTATGACCTATAGTAATTATGACTTTGAAATGTCCATTACTGATAAAAACTAGTTTTGAAGAGTGTTGAAACAGAAATTGTAGGATTAATAAAATTGAATATTCGTTTAATACCTATTACTTAGCTGTAGAAATCTATAGTAATGATGGAATATGCAAAAAAAAAGTACTTTCTCAATTGTACAAAAATATTTAACAATTCCTGTTACTTTAGTATCGACAAAATGACTTTTTAATAAAGCAGGAAATCAAAGTACACTAGATTCGGATCAAAATTATAGAAGAAATGAAATTATATTGATATTGATATATTTGATAAATAATATAAAATAATAAATTTAAATAAAAATAATAAAAATAATAAAAATAAATCACTAACAAATTTAATATAGTTAACCGACTATTAACTAGTTAATAATCGATAAATTAACTATTTAAACCAATTAAGTTAACAAGTTATAATTGGTTAATCAAAATATTTAATAGTCGGTTAATGATTTTTTTGGAGGTGCTAATGTCTACGAAAAACAAGTCCGGAAAAACTCAAAAAAAAATTATTTTACCTATAAAATAACAAATAAAAAATATCTTCTCTTTTGTCTTTTTTTTTCTTTTTTTTTCTTTTTGAAAAATGGTAACTTCTAGATTAAATAAAGACATTATTACTATTCCTGATGGTAAAGGACCTATGATAATTGGGCCTAAGGGAAATATTATTAGAAAAATAACGTAAATAAAAATTAAATAAAATTCGTGTTTGTATGCGTTTTTGTTGTGTGTATATATTTTAAATAAATTATGCTCATAATTATTATTATCATTAATATTACTATTATTATTATTAATTACTACTCAAATAATACCAATTAAATGATTAGGAAACAATCCGGAGCAAAAATTAGTGTAGATTTAAAAAAAAGTAAACATAATACCCAAATTTGCGGAACAAAATCTCAACGATTAGCTGCTAAATCGCTTATTAAGGAAATACTTCAAAAGATTCCTCCTCCTGATAGAGGATTTTCAATCCTGGGGTTAGATGATGATTTTGATGTCAAAAAATCCAAATTTCGATTTATTAAATTTATGGGAGATGATACTAATGAACATTCACAAAATAAGGATTTATATTATCTTGAATTAATAAAAGAAGAAAAAGAAGAAAAAAAAGAGAAGATTAAAATTTATGATAATTTAGCCAATCAATTACGACATGGACTCGAGTTACCATCATTAAAAAATGTAGATTTTACTACGATGGATAAATTTAATGATTGTTTAGAAATAATTTCCGAACAAGTTTCTAAAGCGAATCCTACAAATTTTAATCGAAAAGAAATTCGATTAAATATATTTATTGGACAAGAATTATTTATTAAATCTGATATTGTTAGACGAGATAAAATGATTGATTCATATGATTGGTGTGGATTTAAACGAGGGCGTGGAGGTATTTCAACATCATTTCAACATAATTCACTACAAATAATTGAAAATATGGAAATTATTCAAAAGAAATTTAGATTAAAAGTACGTAAAGAAGACGAGAATATTGAAAATGATAAAAGAAGTATTAGCGTATTTTATAAGGATCATAGATCAAAAAAGGGAAAATTGAAATTGCATTGGTTTGAAGAAGAAGGTATAATTAGGTTTATTATTATTATAACTTAGAATTTTCGATATAATAATTGTAACAAATAGAAATAATAATTTATAAATATAATTATTTTTTAAATATACAAATATAGGTTTATGGAAAATAACCAGAGTAGCGAAAGATATTCGACGTAATGGTAAAGTATTTGATAATCTATAATTAATCCAATAATATACATCAATTAATAATAATAATATTATTATTATTATTATCATTATCATTATCATTATAGCAATTGTTGATTTGATATCAGGAACAAATATGCCAGACTTGAGATTCTTATTGAAGACTCAATATGATGTTCCAATTGATGGTGATTTAAAAAAACTTATTAGGAATATACAAAAGAATAAACCTTTGGTTTTAAGAGATGGTTTGTGGTTCAGAATGGAAGATTTTAAAGATAATGAATTGGATAATTTTAAATGTACTGGAATTAGACAGAGATTTAAGAAAAAAGTATATTTGTATGTAGTATTGTTTTTTTTGTTTTCGTTTTTAGGTTATTTCTTTGCATCATCGCATTTTTAATCTATTTAATCTAATTTAACACAATAACAATATTTACTATTATTATTAGAAATAAAAAATTTCAAGTCTCGGTGGTCGCTACTAGACAAGAGAAAGATTTACATAAACGAATTGCAGTTGAAGAATATATTTCCGTAAAAAGTCTAGATTGGCGAGCTGTTGAAAATATTGATAAAAAACCTTCTTTACATTTCGATGAAGAAGAAATTCATAAAACTGTTAAAAATACTATTAATTTTGCTATAAAAGTTGCTGAATATACCAAAAAATTTACCAAAAAAAATTGAATTATATTATATTATCGTCATTATATTATTTTTATTATTTTATATTATTTATTTACAGTATATTATTTATTATTTATATCAACCAGTGTAAATGGTTATAAAATATGGAAAATAAACAAATAAAAAAAAGAAACCTTTATTTGTTATAACTTGAACAAATGTCAACAATGTCAACAGAGTTGAATAAATTTATTTTCACAAGAAAAGAAGAATTATTAACCTGTATGAACGTTTAGAGTCACTTAGAACACAAAGATATGAACAAGAATACGCGTTACAAATAAATACAAAGTAAACAACATTTTTTTTTTGATATCTATTCATTTTATGGTACAGATGTTATTTCTTATGTTTGTTTGTTTTTTCATTTAAATTCGCAGAATATTTATCAACATCATCAACATCATCAACATTGAATATTAACTTAAAGAACGAATTAATTTAAAAAGAAAGAATTATCAAATTTAAAAGTCATAAACATTGTTAAAGGTAAAGCTATAGAAAGCATCAAAACAGGACGCATTATAATAATTCTCTTTATCCCAGAGAACCAGAGTTATGTATCCTTATAAATAAAAATAATCCCTTAATCCATCAGTACAATTGATTAATTATAATTTGTAAACTATTTCAGCTTTCAAATGTTCTCCTAAGGAGTGATTATGTAACATCAACTGAACAGATTCAACTTCATGTTCCTGTAACACACAGATTAATTAACCATGAGTCCTTTTTCATCAGTCAATTTTATACAATAACAAGAGAAACGGCAACAAGACAAGAACAGAGATTGTGAGAGAAATAGCAACAAGACAAGAATAGCAATCACAAGAGGAACAAGGACATTAGGTAAGTACAAATATTTTGTGCATTCTAATCTTTTTTTATTTAAATAATTATAATTAATATGTTTACAATTCCTACAAGAACAATAATTACCAGGGAAATTGTTAGAAACTCATGAGTTTATATCAAAGCCTGTAAACTATATCAAAGTTAATAAGCTTATATTAAGGTTTATAAGTTTATCTTAAGACTCATGAGCTTATATTAAAGCTTGCAAACTTATATTAAGGCTCGTGAGCTTATATTAAGTTTCGAGAGCCTATATAAGGGCTCATGAGCTTATATTAGGGCTTGAGAGCCTATATAAGGGCTCGAGAGCTTACATCAGAGCTCGAGAGCCTTAATAGGCTCGAAAGCAAGGCTAAGTCCAAATTATATAAGCTTGGCTCGACCTGAGTCCAAATTTTAAACTTGGGCTTGACTGGGCTCAGGATTTATAGAGCACAACCGGGCTCGACCTATGGGGAGCTTTAAGTAGAAGCAATAGAGAAAATCATTTTTCAAATAATTTTATAGATAATTTTTTATATGTGAAAGATTTACTAACTTTGGTAATAAAAGTTTTAATTGACATTTCATAAATAATTTAACAATCAAATTTTAATTGATTTTTTTTTGCATGTTCTTAAATAAATAAAATCCAATGTTTAAACTCTTATTCATTGATTGATATTTGAAATTTTCTTACCCTGGTTTTATTTCAATTTTTGTAATTCTGCTCTAAAATTTAATTAATTTATATAAATATTAACTTTGGATGATCAAATCAAATTTACTTAGTTTTGGTTAAATAAATTTGGATGATCAAATCTTCAGATAGCTTTTATGACCTGTATATATAAAACTTTATTTTCAATTAATTACATTGTTCAATTATGTATAAATTATAAAGTTAAAAAGAAAGTTAACTTACTAATTTTCAGTTTACCTTTGTACATAATAAATGATTACAAATATTTAGATTTTCTGAAATATCAAGGTAATAAATAATTTATTTTAAATGATTACATACTAGTCAGATTTAATTTAAACAAGGTTATACTATATAATTCCAGTGATCAAATAAAATAATAAATATAATATAAAATATAATAAAATAATGAATAACATAATAAATCAAGGCTAAAAAATAAAAATTTTAAAAAATTATGTTTAATTTTTCAGAATTTCATTTTCTTCAATTTCTTCTTCAACTATACAAATTTAAAGATTATTAATTTCATTTTAATAAATCAATAAACAATCATTAAACAAATAATTCATAAAATATAATATTATATATTACTTATATCATTAGGAACTTCAAACTCAAATTGTTTTGTATCTAAAATAATAAAGAATGTAAATATATAACATAAAATATTCATTAATTTATTGCTAAAAATATAAATAATTACCATGTGTATTGGTTTTGAATTTCTTAGATTTCAGAAAAGGCAAATGTCTGCTTGTATATGTTGCTTCGGGGTGCATTTTATTTGGATCATATTTAATAAAATTCTTGTTTAATTTATTTGCTACATTAACTTGTTTGTTTACTTGTTTTCTTGTTTCATCACCACAACCATAATTATATTTATCAAGTTGAACTTTTAATTCTTCAGCAGTTGGACGATTGAGAGGTTCAAAATTCCAGCATTTTTCCATTATTTCTTTGAGAAATTGAGGAATTTCATACTTAATTTCAGGTCTAAGCCCTTCACAAATTCTTATTGCAAGATTTTCATTATGTGAAATATTATAATATGGTGGATAACTAGTAAGAATTTCGTACATAACCATACCAAAAGAATAAATGTCAGATGCTTGAGTGTATTCTCCTCTATTTAATGTTTCAGGTGCCATGTATGGAATTACACCATAAATTTTTTCTGCATCATTTTCTGAAACTGGTTTGCACAGTCCAAAATCTGTAATATAACTTACAGTTAAAGTTTGATGAACTATATTACCAGAATGAAAATCTTTATGTATCAAGTCCATTTTATGAATATTTACAAGTCCATTTACAATTGATAATATTATATTATATTTCCTTCTCCAAGTTAATTCCTTGAAATTGCTATTTAGTAGTTTTCGAAGACTACCATATTCTGCATACCGCATAACCATCATGTATTCATTTTTTGTTGGATTTTTAGTGATTCCATACATTGCAATTGCATTTTTACCTCGAAATTTAAGTTGATTTCTAATCTAAAATATTTATTAACATAAATTATTATTATCTATTTAAAATAATGAAATTAAATAATGAAATATTTACCTCTTGCAATAAAAATATTCTATTTGTGGAATTATCATTATCATGACTTTTTAAGCAAACGTCTTGTTTTCCAGATCTGTACCAATTTTTTACACTATAATTCCACGAATTAATAGGTCCATCAAGCCATTTTGCTTTGAATACTGTGCCAAAACCTCCTTTAGCAAGGTATGTGACATTCTCAAATCTATCAAATGGAATCCACTCAATAATTTCTTGACATTTATTTGCCTTTAGTTGTATTTGTTGGATAAATTCATCAATTTCTTTATCTTCACTTGTCCATTTATTAAATTAATTTTGTAATTGTTTGGCACTACACCATGCATTTTTGATAATTAATTAATTATATTAAATTAAATTGAAACATTGATTTAAATAATTATGAATCTAAATACTCACTAACTTTTTTTATTTTTTTTTTTTTTTTATATCCAACGGAGTCTTGCTCCAATAAACTTTATTAATAGATTAAGTGTAAATTTTAAAGA